TTTGGATGGACCCTGAGAAAATTTACTGTCCTTTTTTGCAAAGGGCATAGTTTTCATATTTCTCCAATAATTTTTTTAAACTAAAAAAGAGAAAAGACTGAGCCTCAGGATGGGACTGAAATTTAAAGCCTTCACAGAAAGCCATTAAAGGTCTCCCTGGAGGGCCAGACAGCACGATCAGAACAGAGCACCCAGGGCCCTTGGGCTACCACTCCCTACAGGCTGTGCAGGACAGGTCTCCATCTCACACAGGACACGAAAGAGCAGCTCTCATTGTTCAGAAGCCCAGTGGGGACAAATAAACAAAGAGACATATGCTGGGCAGGCAGGGCAGATAAAAATAACACCAGGAGGAGCTGAAGGGCAAACGGGGCAGTGGCCACAGGCTCCTAAGATGCTCACTGCAGGGGAGCTTGGACAAGGGAAGGACCTGGAGATTCCAGCCCACCTCTGTATCCCTAACCACCCACACCAGGGAGCCCGCCAAGGAGAAGAAATTAGGTAACATTCACTGACCACTTACACAGGGCCTGGAGCTGCCCTGAGTGCTTTAGGAGCATTAGCTCGTGTAATCTTCCCTGCAATCCTATGAGAAAATGTAACAGACACGGTTTTGTCAGCCCGCATGCCTTCGGGACTGGCAAGGCTGTCAATCACGGGGCTCTGCTCACTACTGGCTGAAAAAAAACCAACAAAGACTCTTTCCTAAAACGTTACATGTGAACATTAGGAGAAAGAGCCTCTTAGATTCTGTATGAGGCTTGGCACTACCCGGTGTCATTTTGGGGATACTGTAGAATGACACCAGCGCACAGAGGACACAAAACCCAAGAGGGGAGGAGGAAAGGTCGCTGGCATCACGAGGGCACTGGGTCTGGTGGTGCTTGAAGAAGGGACCTGTTCTTGGCTTCCCAGCTATAGCAAGAGAAAACTCCCCTGCTGACCCGAGCTACTTTGGTTTGACTTTCTGCCACCAAGAACATGTCAGCGTTAGTTGGGGAAACTGAGATTTGAGAAGTTACTAAGCAGAAGGGCCAGAGTCACCGAGTTGTGCTGCTGCCCTAGCTGAGCATGGGACACAGCCCTCCCGCCCCAGCAGTGCCCGCCCCAGCAGGTCAACATGGTGTCAACAGAACACATCCAGGTGGCATCCTGCTTGATGTCGCCTCACAGGAGGTAGGGAGAAGCCTGCTCCAGGCTACTACTCCACCCCCCTTCAAATCTTTAAACACAGAACCGGAGGCTCAGAAGGGCAATGGGAATGGCTCCAGACACACCACTAATAACAACAGTTTGTGTGATGCACTAGGACTGCCCAGCAGAGAGAAAAGTCCTGACGAAAGAGACAGAGCAAGGCTGGTCCAACAAGAGAGATGGGAAGAAAAGCCTTGAGTGGTGCTTTGAGAAACAATCCAGTGGGTTTCTCCTCAGGAACACTTTCTCAGCCCCCTGCAGAATCTCAGCCAACCACAAGTCCTTTATGGACCTGGAAGGTTGACTACTGAGAAGGCAAATCTACCAAGGGGCAGAGAAAAAACAGCTCACGCCAATCCCCTAATATCCAAACAAGGAAACCTGGTTAGTCAGAACCCTTATAATTACAACCAAGAGAAAACCAATCATGGACTGGCTCAGGTAACAAGAGCAACTTACCGGCTCATCAACTTTAGAAGTCCAAAGGAAAAACAGCTTTAGGAAAGCCTGGACCCAGCAGCTCAAACGGGGGTTATCAGGAACTGTGACTGCTCTCTCCCTCCATTTCTTTACTGAGTGGGCACCATATGGGGTAGGATCTTTTCACAAAGTGGCAAAGACAGCTGCCAACAACTCCTGGCTTACATTGCCCTCTCAAGCATGCTGCAACTTGCTTTTGCTGGACCAGCTTGGCCACGTGCCCTTCTTGACACAGTCATGGTGGCCAACAAGCTCACTGTCCAGGCCTGGATAGGCTGCTCTCCTCTGAAGCCTAAGAATCTCATCACAATTATCATAGTAAATTAAAAAGATAATGATAGTTTAACATTTACTGAGCATCTATGAGGAAGATTTATTGAGCTGATACATGGTCTCATTTTGCACACCATAACTCTATGAGAGTTTTCTCATCCTCATTTTGTAACTAAGGAAGCCAGAAGACAGAGGGGCTAAGTAACCTACCCAAGGTAGAGCATGATCTGACCCTTGCCGTCTAAACCCCTAGGCTAAACCACGCACGTCATGAAACCTGCCACCTGAACAGACAGGGACCTGGGAACAGGGTGGCCCCAAAGTGCACACACAGGCTTCCCCTACAGCCTGCGATGCTCCACGGCCCCACCCTGACTGTGCCCCAGCAGCTAAGGCACCCCCAAGCCCCAAGCTACACCTGCTCGAGCAGGCCAGTGTCTGCCATCCTGACAGCGGCTCCTTCTGTGGCCAGGAGCAAGAAGAAAGTTCTGACCATCAGCAGAGATGGACTCTGCCTGGAACATGTCAGCAATTGAATTTTTCAAAACTTTTGCTTTCTTCTATTTCTTCTTTTTAAAATATTCATCTGTTTTACAGATGTTTCTTATACCTATAAAAACTGGAAACTCTCAGACACCTTAAACCAGGGATCCTCAAACTTGTTAAACAGGGGGCCAATTCACTGTCCCTCAGACCGTTGGAGGGCTGGACTGCAGGCCCCAGGATGAGTGGGCTGCTAAGCAGGACAGGCAGCGGCAGCAAAAACACCTGATGGGCCTGATAAATATCTAGGCGGGCCACATGTAGGCCGTAGTTTGAGGACGCCTGCCTTAAACCAGTGGTTCTTAACCTTCCTAATGCCGCAACAGTCCAAAGGGGTTGCGACCCACAGGTTGAGGACCGCTGCCTTAAACCCTTACCTACCCATTGTTTAAATGGGGTGACTTTCAAAACTGCCCAGTTATGAAATTGTTTTTTTCTATCCCACATACTAGACGAAATTTTCCCAGCAATTATCATAAGCGAAAACACACGCACTGTGAAACACACTCAGAGCTGCTTGCTCGGGTCCAGTGCCTCACTGTGTTCCCTCCTCATCTGGCTTCTCCCGTGGATCAGCTCTTCCTTTCCATTTCATAGATAAGTAAACACTCTTGTGCATCTTACAAGGGCACAGGCGAAACTTACTAAATGTAGAATATAAATGTCTGAACACAATAACTAAGAAAATGCCATGAACGCTATGTTAACCAGTTTGGTGAAAATATTTCAAATTATACAGCACACTGTACCCCATGATAATGTACACAGCAATGATTTAATTAAAAAAAAAAAAAAAAAAA